AAGCGGCTTCAGAATGCATTATCTTTTTTTTGTCTATCCTTTTTGTTTTCAAGTTTGTCTTTTGATGGATGCGTTTTCTTTTCCCATCATGTTCATATTTGTAGTGCAGAGAGAAAATTGACATTTGAATTCACCTTAGATGATGGTTGATCAATTCTTACATTTCAGTGCTAAGCCTGTGTAAATAATCTTGAAAAGTTTGTTGTTTCTTGCTAAGATTCATTTTTTTTCACTGTGCACATTTTTTACTGTATTTATCTTCTTTTATTTTCTTTCCTTTTTCTTCTTACTTCTCATAAAAGAGAAGTGTGTCGTATCTATATGTAAACTAGGTTTTTTTGGACAGTTATTCAAATAGGTAAATAGGGAAATCAACCAGGAACTTGCAAAATCATTTTATTTCTGAACATTGCTTTCTCCCAAATTGTCAAGTAATCTTTTGAATATTTATCATGCTACTTGGAAACTTACAGAATGGACATCCACAAATAATTGAAAAGGAGTTGACATCTGCCAATGATGGTAATGTTGCTGAAGATCTGATGTAGAATCGTGATGTATTCTTAAGTACCTACCCTTCGGTCTCACTTGACAAAATTACAGGTCTGTGGATCTGATTTATTACTATTTTGGCATTATAGCTGATTGCTGATTGCCGAAATTATGTCATCTATTAAGCAGTTTTCCTGCATGGAAAATTACTAGATGTTTGTAATAATTGACAAAATTTTGCCTTTGATTTTCCATTTTGAATAAAATTCTATTTCTCTTATGTGAATTGCATTCAAGCATCTTGTTTTATGTAAGGATGCAGATAATGTAAACTTCTAATGAATGCAGGTGGTGTGCCATTTTTGGGAACGGAATATATCAAGGGTGATATAGATGCTATGGGGAAGTTGCCTTGTGGGTATTTCTTGGAGGATTTCAAGCGTGTTGCTTGTTCATTTCAGATGGTTCCTATTGGTAACCAATTTCTTCCTTGTTTAATTTTATAAAGATTGTATGTGGTGTAGGTACAAGCAGACTTGATCAGTATTCTCATGGAGAAAATGGAGATTCTGACCATAGGTTTGCACTAAACAACAACATGGCAACCATGAGGGGCTGATTTGAAGAAAATTCAAACTGTTTGACAGTATATGATTGAGATTTGGAAAGTTGTAGGGTTAAATCTCCAAGGAGATGAACTAGAATTTTTATGATCTTTAATTTGGCATTGTAATTCAAATTTGAGCCAATCTATGTTCTTTTATATTAATTATTAGTTAATTCTCAATCTCTGTTCCTAGTTAAATTTATATAAATTCTCAGTTAATTTTCAATTTCTATTCCTAGTGAAATTCTCAATTAATTGGGCTGTGTTCTTAAAAAAATAAAAAAGACATCTTTTTGAAAAAAAATCCCACTAAATGATGTCATCATGACATCGCAGCAGTGGCAAGGATTAAAAATGAAAATAGATGGCGTTTTTTTAAAAAACGTCGCTGAATGATGTCACCATTACATCATTAACGGAAAAGTAAGTGGCTGTTAAAGTTTTTGCGACGTTTTAAAAAACGCCATCATATGTTTTTAGCGACGCTTTTGAAACGCTGCCAAGCTATTGCGACGGCCGTATCTTCGACGAAAATATTAAACGTCGCAAAATTCTATTGTGGCGTTTTTCAAGCCTATAACGGCGTTTTTGAAACGCCGCTAAAAGTCGAATTTCTTGCAGTGAATGAACCAATAAATCTAATAACTACTATATGTGTATAAATAATTGGCAGATATATTTATGTGAGAGTTCATTATATTCATTTGGTATTTATTGGCATCACCGTTCTTGTTAAGTTTCTCACTAAAAATAAAAAAAAAATAAAAAAAATTGCATTATCTTTTGTATATCTTGGACTGTCAATTGGAGCCTTCAGCTTCAGCCCACAATTTTGGGTCTAAAACTTCGAGGCCGAGCAAAAAAATGGGCCCAAAACTGATTTCGGGACCCAATTTTAATTAACGCGTAGATCAAATTACACTTGGACTGTTAGTGTTAGGAATGGCAATGGGGGGCAATGGGGTGGATATTAATTCCCCATCCCCATTCCCCTATAATAAATTTTCCCCATTCTCCATTCCCCATTCCCCATGGGTACCACCCTCTCCATTTTTTAATGGGTATGGATTTTCCCCAACCCACTTTAATCCCCATTTATCCATTGCCATCCCTAGTTAGTGTAATCCGTATTACGTACCGTGTTGACTTTTCAATAAGGGATCAGCTTCTTTTAAGTCTAATTGAATTGGAAGATACTGGTGGACTTGTGGAGGTCGATTATGAGTTTTGTTTTAATAATTTGGACCGTTTAATATGTAGAATTTATCGAGTATTATATGTTTGTAAATAATTATTTTGATCGGATATCGATAGTTATTTTATCGGATTAAATTTTTATCAACCGTTTATTTTTTTACCGTCTATTTTTTTTATACAAAACTGATTTGATCACATAGCTATTGATATTCGATCAATGTAATGTTTTATAAGTTTATAGGACTCGATATTTTTACACATTGCACAGTTCAAATTATCAAAACATGACTTGTGGTGGGCTTCCACGAACTCAACAGCACCCTCCAGTCTGTGATCGGATTAGAGGGAAGTCAAACCCTTTTAATAATTCCTATTCTTTTTCTATTACTAAGGGCTCGTTTAGGAACAAGTTATTTTAGTAACTCTTTAACTTTTCACGAAAAGATATGCAGAAAAATAAAGAAAATAATGCAACAACTTATATGGTGAATTTTTAATTTTTTGACTAAAATAGTTCATTCCCAAATGAGGCATCACTATAATAGAAAACTTACGGCGCAGCCCAAATAAAGAGATGTTATTGAGTATTTTCTTAGAAGCTAAGCGGTAACGCTTATTTTTTAAAGTCGCACCTTTAATTAATTAACAAGTCAAAAAATTATTATAAAAAAATAAATTATTCTTTTTATCTTTTTTCATATTTTTTTATTAAAAATTAAAAAATCACTAAATAGGTCAATTCTCAATACAATCTTAAATTGTGCGTGCATCACAAATAAATGAAGAGTTATGAGAAAATTACAAATTAGTTTGAAAGTAAAAAAATTATTTATATTTCTATGGTGATATAAATTTTGTGCACATACCGAACAAATTTTTTTTTGTGCTCGATGAAAGTTCTTCCTGTATATTAGAGTTGTATCAAAAAAATTTATAATAATTTTCTCAAAAACTTATTAATTGGGAGTGGAAGAGAGAATGTGGAGGGAAAAGAGCTGCAACTAGGCAAAGCCGAAAGCCAAGCCAAAATGTCAACTCCATTAGAATCATAGTACATTAATCATATTTTCAAATGAATTTCGTTTTGGTGGTTGGTGATAGTGTGGACATGATACTGAAGATGTTGAAATTCTCGGAGTTCCAAGGTTGCGTTCGGTCAAGTAAACAATTGCTCTACACTACACCTGCTAAATACAAGCATAAAAGGAGTAATTGTTGAACACATTACGTGATATGTTTATGTAATATCTAAGAACAATTAGCCATATAAATTTATTAATTATTTTGTTACCAGAAAAAAAGTTGTGGTTTACAGATTCATATTCTAAATAGCAATATGTATATATATATATTGAGTAATGGTTGAATTTTTAGGATCTCTTGTGTTTTTGATATATTTTCGAGACTTACGTGTAGATTTTAATAGGTGGACTTATTATCCAATAATTTATGTTATAATTAATAATATTTGTCATCAAACACTATTAAAAAAAAAGTCACTAATTATTAATTTTCAGTAACAAATTAAAAAATTTGTTACAAAAAAGTTACTAATTATAAGTTTTAGTAATGGTTTAAAAAAATCGTTACAAAAAATGTTATTAATTTTTAACTTTTAGCAATAGTTTAAATAATTTGTTACAGAAAAACATTACTAATTATAAATTTTAATGACAATTTATAAATATCGTGATAAAAAATATCATTAATTGTCAAATTTTAATTACATATATAAAAAGTCACAAAAAATTATTTTTAACAACTATTTTATTATGACTAACTTTCAAAATTTTTATTTATTTATGTTTAATATATAAAACACTAGTGGATAAAGTGTTTTTTGTTTTTTTTTTTTCATCACACGGTGAAGCGATACAATGACGGTTGGTACAGGTTTTTTTTTGTTTGACATATGGTGGGTGTTTGGTGTAAAAAATAATAATTAATATTATTGTTAAAATAATGTCAAACAGATAGAATTCATATAAAAAAATTAACAATGCTGGGTATTTCAAATTTTTGTGGCTCAAATGACTCAAATCACTCAAAACGATGTTGTTTTGAGTATAAAACGACGTAAAACGACGTTGTTTTGACAGATTTGAGCCATTTGAGCCTCCGTTTGGGAAGCAAGTTGACTTTTTGGCTTTTTAACTTTTTGGCTATTTTAGCCTGGGCTATTTTAACCTGGTTTGGGAAGGATTTTTTGACTTTTTTGACTCTTTTTATGAGAGAGGATTGTAATGATTATGGGTTGAATTTGATGTTTTATTTTTTGTGGCTAAAATAGCCCCTAACCCACCCAAACCTTCTTGCCAAACACCACCTGAGTCACAAAATTTTGGACTACCAAATATATTCCTAAAAAATTATATGGTCACTACTAAAAAAAGCACTTTTTACAACCGTTATAAATCGTCGTAAATAATAAAAAAAATAGTAGCAATGCGACGGCAAATGGAGGTCACGAATGTGGGGATAGCAAATACTTTTTGTGACGGCAAAGCAACAGTCGCAAATTATTCGCGACTGCCTAAACTACTTATAGCGACCGCTATTTTGCCGTTGCAAAAAACAAAGAAAAACGCTAACATGGTTTTTGGTGACCATTTTGTTACCGTCGCAAAAAAAAAAAAAAAAATGTAACGTTAAGCACTCTAGGACTAACAATACAAAAAATTAGGCAGTATAGCTTTGTAGTTTATTCAGGCATTCTATTTGAGTATCAAAATTAGAACTATATGTGAAAGTTATTACAACTAAAAACTTGGAAAAAATTCTTTTATGAAAAAAAAACAATCCAAATAGAATGATAGTAAAGTCAAAATCTACAATGCTAGTGTTCACCACTGTACAAGGTACCGGTTGAGTTTCAATTTGTTACCATGGAGATATATGTTCCTCAAATCCAAGCTTGCACCTGATCAATACACATTATGAGGGTGAATAGATCAGAACACAGAGTACCCAATTTCTAGATCTTTCTTTAGATATAAAGCCTCAACTAGAGCAGAGAAAAGGCAATGATTGCAAGAAAATAATGAAAACTAATAAACATTGTAAAAAAATTATGAAAATCAAAATAGACAACCAGAGCACAATCCAGGTGCCATTTACAATTTTAAACACTAGATATGTACCTATAAAATAACCACCAATTTTTATCCTGAATGTAGGATTATTGTGCATGTCATTCTGCAGCAATAATATCAACATTAGTATATTTTTTAATCACTAAATGCTTAGCATATTATAATGAACATCTTAAACAACAAACTTGATAAAACTTAACGCAATACTCGCAAAACATACCAGCCCACATATACCTAAATCAACCCACAACAACTGCATTAGTAATTGGAATGAGAAAACCAAACAAACAAGCAAAGCACGAAGGCAGCAGAATTAAAATATATATATATATATACATATATATTAAAAAATTCAAATCCAATGGAAGTAGGCATGGTTTACCTTATCAGCTGAACCAGTAACAACCAAGTCACCCTCATCCACAAATTTAACATTTGTAACCTGCAAAAAGAGCAGAGGAAAAAGGAGAGACGAGTGTGCTTAGCCAAAAGATTTCCGTAAGTAGATAAAATTCAAACAATAAACAAAAGAAAGGAAGGCACTAGACCTTCTTTGAATGACCATTAAGTGTAGATAAAATCTCTCCTAATGGCCGATCAAAGAGTACAAGACTTGTATTAGCCCCACCAGTTACTATAATATCCTACACACCACCAAAGAAAATGCTTAATTCTAATACAATAGTATCCTGTCCAGCAGCCTTGTACCTCTGAAAAAGTGGATTGACCACAAAAATTTAGTAATGAAGAGTAAATTGTAATAGAGGGTATTATTACTATCTTTCAAGAATAGATAATTTACAGGAAATGACTTCAAATAAGATTTTTCTTTTGTTTATTTGTGGCATATGAAAGTTCATTTCTCAGCAATGTTGTTCAAAGTCACCGAATTTTGTTTAACAAGGCTGAATTCTAGACCCAAGTCATTAAAAAAAATATGACAGATCTTTTAATGATGAACAGTATTTATAAGCTACAAACAATTTCACAATAAATCTGATTACATCCTTTATCATTATGGAAATTAAAAGCATTAGTATCATAGATGTTGACAAATTTATTGTTTGGCACAAAACTGACAAATACATGAATAGGCAGGATGAAAGTACATGCAGAAAATTCACATTTAAAGAACTGACCGTTGTTGCATCAAACACATAAAGTTTCTCTTCTGTAGGAACATGAAGTGTTTTTGGGCCAACTTCCCCATTTAATAGCTTGTTGACAATACGGATATTTGCAAAAGTTCCTCTTACCAACTTATTAATGATTTTGACCTTGGAACTTTGCTAATTCTATCGAAAATCTACACCTTTTCCCTAAAAAATAAGTTGACAATTCTATGTTATTTTGTGTAGGACCTATCAAGTAAATAAACAAACTACCAAATTAGGTAGTAAGAGAAATAACATATATAACAGAAAAATATCAGGAAAACCATTCTCTCAAGCACTAAACTTGCAAAGGTGCTATCACAAACAAGGATCTGACGGAACCAACATAATTTTCAGAAGGAAAGAATCAGGAAACCTTATAAAAATTTCAGAAAGAAGATGTTCTTTCAAATTTTCCAAGCGGATGTTCTTCATAACTTTTATCCTAGAAAAAGCCAAGTCATATAGCTCAAACATCAACCATTATAGTACTAGTATGTCATCCATAGCAATGGGTTCATTCCTTCCAACTATCCTAGCAAAATATTATTGTGTAAAAAAAGAAAAAGAAAAATAGAGAGTGGGGAGAGAGAATTCAAATACTACATGACTAACCATAAGTAGTAAACAGAGCAATCTTTATCATGCTTTGGTTCCAAGTCATGCTTAATTTTTCTTTTTCTTCAAATTTTTTCCATATTGTCCATCTCTCCCATACACTAGCCATGAGAATGAAACATCTCTTGCAGGCAGATTATCAAGCAATCAATTCATGAAGATGAAACATCTCTTGTAGGCAATTTATCAAATATATGAACATCAATCAATTTTAGATATTTCAATACATATCAATCCACGAAATCCAGACATATACTTCAAACTCCAAACCAACAATCAATGCATTCAAAGATGAAAATCTCTCATATTATGACACAAATTTTTTAAAAAAAAATCATTTCCTTCAACACGTAAAGAAGCAAATTTAAAGGCGTAAGCACATGAGATGAAAATAAGGTTTATAAATTTCAAATTGACAGGAATGAGAGAGAATTAGAGAGTGAAACAAAATAATAATAACAATTGCAAAATTACCTCTTAAAAGCTTACAGTTATGATTTTCTTTCTGTTACCTCAGAAAAACTAATTTCCCATTCATCTTTGTTGTAATTTGCTGCAATTAACCACAACATCAACAATAACCAACACATTAACTGTATTTTAAATGAACAAATTTATTAATAAACATTGCATTCAAACTAAAAAAGCTAACAAATTGAAATCAATTCCCAAACAGTGAACAAAAAGCTAACAAAGAGTTGTTTAATACAAATCTAAACAAGATCAAAACTAGAACAAACATGTAAACAAATAAATTAGAACTTACCTCCAATGAGAAAGTTAGGGTGCTTTTCTTTCAGGAGTCAATTTTCCCGTTGCCACCGATTAACGATTGGATCATTCAAGAACCTGATAACAAAATAAGGATGATTATTCAATCAATACATAGAGATACATATATAAATTCATATATATACTTGTATAGAGACCTTTTAGGAGAAGAAAAATTATCCAAAAAAAGTACAAATAATGTGTACATAGAGAACGAGATTGTGTGAGAGAGACAGAGATCGAGAGAGACACTGAGAGATTGAGAGGGAGAGAGAGAGAGAGAAACAGAGACAGAGATCAAGATATATATATATATATAGAGAGAGAGAGAGAGATTCATACTAGTGTTCTTCAGAAGATGATGAGTCGGCGAGAGAAATAGAGCGATGTCAAGAGTTTGATCGAGCTTGGCTTGGGCAAAACTAAGGGAAAGGATCAAATAAATAAAAGAAAATAGAACAAAAAAATTGGGATTTATATTCCCACGCGTGATAATGAATTAACGTATTTCAAGGAAATCCAAGCTTTAAAGCAAATATCTAATCATTTCTCATACCAAAGCATAAGAAACTAAAAACAGAGGACAATTCAATCTATGAATTCCTCTTCACGATATGCATCAATTCATAGCTCGATACACAAATAATTTATACGAATATACATCTGCAACAATTTTTTTGTTGAGAAACAATTTCATCAATTAAAGTTCTAGAATAGTAAACTACCTATTCATCAAAACTTCCATCGAAAATGTTGGTGTCGCTATCTACTTGATCATCATCATCATCAAATATCGTTGCCCCTGTGCCTTCTTCAGGAGAAACACCTATTCATGTAGCATGTTAAAGCAAAATTTGCTTTAGTATTTTATGATTTAGCCAATGCATAGAGTTTAACATAGTAAACCCAGTTCCCTAGAAGCAATCGTTTATCCACAAAATATACAAAGCAATAAGTGTTCCTTCATTTTTAATTTTTTCCCCCCATGAATGGAAATAAATAAAAATTTAAAAAAGAGGATAAGGATGTTTGAGGGTAGTCATAAACAGAGAAATAAGCAAGCCTTGACATATACAAACCTGTACTCAGATAATTATAACTACTCATTAAAATGTATGGATCAAGACAATGATTGTCTGGACTCATTCCGCAGCAAATGATATACCCTTTATGCATATGCATGTTACTTGCTTTCTAGGTAAATGATGAATCATATCTTAGCTTGAGTGGTATCTCCTGTCACCTCCAAAGCAGGATGGACAGGGTTCAAGTTCCGATAGGACACACGTCTTACTCATTTACTAGATAAATCAGTATATAATCATGCATACCCTTTATACATATCACTTTGTTCAGATCTTGCCATATCTATTTCTATCCCAAGAAAAAGACCCATTCTCAAAACAGATACAAATTCACTGATATACTTGAACAATATAAGGGATCCAGATTGAACAAACAGCACACACACATACATATAACAGAGAGAGAGAGAGAGAGAGAGAGAGAGATTACCTAGAGATTGGACCTGATAAGAGAGGAAAAGAATGGAATGTACACGGACAAGGAGAAGAAGATGATGTCCCTGAAGAAAGCCACAAGCAAACTTAGAAGTCTTTTTTAAATCAAATCCCATAAATAAGAGCTCAAGCAAGTTACAAGTCACAACTATATGACGGACAATGTGATATGCTCATTTTTAGATGTTTTGCAGAAAATTAAAATTAACAGCATTCTAATTCTCAAGATGTGTATTCAAGATCCAAAAATAGTCTAGAGGAAAAGAATGGAATGTACAAGGACAAGGAGAAGAAGATGATGTCCCTGAAGAAAGCCATAAGCAAACTTGATTATTTTTCTTGTTATCATCTCGTTTCACTCTTAAATTTTTAAGTTCATATCCAAATTCATTTGACAAAATAATTCTCACCCCTACTCCCAAGCCAGATGAGGCAAATTATAAATCTTGAGATTAAATAAACCAATTTCTCAGAAAGCTGGAATTAAACTATTTTATTGAATAATGAAATTCGAACAAAGTTTTTTTTAAAATCAAATCCCATAAATAAGAGCTCAAGAAAGTTACAAGTCACAACTATATGACGGACAATGTGATATGCTCATTTTTAAATGTTTTGCAGAAAATTAAAATTAACAGCATTCTAATTCTCAAGATGTCTCTCTCCTGGTTCCATCATATCTAGTTATCGGCTTTTCACAAACTATTAAATACCCAATCAAGGTTCTGATTGTCTCTCTCCTGGTTCCATCATATCTAGTTATCGGCTTTTCACAAGTTACATAAAATGCTTGACTAGTATCAACACAAGAAAGCAAGAGGAAAGGGAAGCAAGATTTTCTCTAAGGTCACCCTTCTATAGTTAGGCTTTTTTAACATGGGGAGTAGAAGGTTTTAATCCTTTCCTTATGAGAGGAATAACCTCTCATCATCTTTATTAGCAGGTCTATTCTATCTTAGCGTCCACACATCCCAACATCTATACAATGGATTGCATATGGGCAATATTGAAAAAATTCTTTCTAGTATATTGCTGCTGCCTTTCTTGCAACTTTCATTCTTTTAGAACTATGTGGTATGGCTCAGCTACCTAGCCAATTGAATTATTTGGCCCACTCATTATCAATGAGATCAGGGTACTTCCAGCAAGAAACATATCGAATAGTCGGAGCTCGGTTAGCTGAAAATCAAAATTTAGAACTACCAGCAATCATAAAGGACCTACATCTTAAGGAGTAGATGAAGTGAAGAAGTGCCAAAGTACAGCCAATCAAATTCATCATGCCAAAGTTCAAATTGTTTGCATAAACTTTTATTAGTAATCTTAACAACCATCCATTAGAAAACATGAAGAAAAAAGATAGATGCATATATATAAAACTATTGTCACATAAATTTTATCCCGATTGAAGTCACTTATAATGAGAAGAAGCTCTATTTCATACACAGTCTAAGTACAATCTAAGTGCCTCCAAGCCATGTAACATTTTAAAATCATCAAAGGGAAGGGGGGAAAAAAACAAACAAACAAAAAATAGCCTTTCAAATTACCTAATTCAGAGAATTCTTGATTCCATCCTATTTACTATTTTTTATTTTTGACAAGTAACTCAAATTACCAGACCAATTTTCTTCAATGCACAATTAAGTCAAGACTTGAGAGTTCAATCACAAAGACAATTCACATTGTAGTCGAAGAATTTACAAAACATGATGATTGAATCGTGGAAGAATGGACGATAACAAGTAAAATCACAAAACTAATGGTAATCACATGATTCGAAAAATTCACAATCATTGAGATTGCTTAGTCAAGCATACAAAGAGAGATTTCTCGCAGTTAAAAAAAGCTTGCTCGATACCGATTGTACAATAGATAATACTGTACTCGTCGTCTCAGAGTAATCTAATTCGTTTGATGGACATAGAAATGCAATATATGTATGTATATAGTTATACATTACATGGATATATATATATATATATATGTAGAGAGAGAGAGTACCGAAGAGCAGAGAAGAGAGCTGGATTACAGAGACATCAGATGGATTATAGATATCAGTGAGTCTAAAAGTTTGATAACATCAAATGGATTTAATA